GGAATTTTCTTTTGTGGGTCTACGAACAATATTTCGATATGTTACAAACGGAATGACAAAATCATTGACATGGGGTCGACTACGGTACTATGGGTAGCCAGTTGCCTGCAGGACTTTGTCCTGGCTTGTCTGTAGGTTGAGGTTCCTTCGGGATCCACTTAGAGGCTGTGGTTTAAAACCAAATTTGCGCGAAGAGAATTGTCGGTTAAAGGACTGATGCACGGTGAAATTTATAATTCGGTATAAGTTCGGTGCTGTTGCCGAAGTCAACAGATACCCCAGAGAGGAGAGACTTGTTCTCTATTGAGTGTGTCGGATGAATGAGAAGTGTGTTGGGTTGAATGTAGGGTTCTATAAATCGACTTTCGAATAATCGAACAATCGACTTTTTGTCGAAAAAAGTCGAAAAGTCGAAGTCGACTATTTTGTTCCAAAAAAGTGGATAACTCGACTATCGTCTGTGAAAAAAGTCGAAAAGTCGACTTTGTGAATAAAAGTCGAAAAGTCTGAAAGTCGAAAAAAGTCGAAGAAAGTCGAAAAAAGTCGAAAAGTCGAATAAAGTCGAAAAAAGTCGAAGAAAGTCGAAAAAAGTCGAAAAGTCGTAAAAAGTCGAAAAAAGTCGAAAAGTCGGAAAAAGTCGAAAAATCGAAAATTTTAGGAACAAGTCAAAAATAGTCAAAAATTTAAAAAAAAGTGGAAAAAAAAGTCAAAAACTCTAAAATAGTCGGAAAAACTCGAAAAAAGTCCAAAAATAGTCGGAAAAAAGTAGAAAGAAGTCGAAAATAGTCAAAAAGTCGAAAAAATCGAAAAGTCGAAAAGTCGAAAAAGTCGAAAAAAGTCGAAAAAAGTCGAAAAAAGTCGGAAAAAGTCGAAAAATCGACTATTTATAAAATACTTATAGTCGAAAAGTCTAAAAGTCGACTTTTATTTAAATGAAAAAAGTCGAAAAGTCGAAAAATCGACTTTTCATAAAATGCAAAAAGTCGAAAAGTCGACTTTTAGTTTCAACTATAGAACCCTAGTTGAATGATGATGGATGGAAAGGTATCTTATACAAGTGATATTGCCACCTGCGTGTGGTGTAGAAAGAAAAAGAAGCGTGGAATAGACCAACACGGCAGGTGTTCACGTAAAACACCTTGACATTCATACTCCCCATGTCTGATTATGTACTAAAGGAAACAAGTACTATTTAACAAACCGTTCTACAAACTTAGAATACCAGCAACTAATGTGTAGGGTGTATATGTGTGTAAAAATAAAGCTTATTATTTTCTGAGTAAAGTCTTGTTCTATGTGGTATTTGAGATAAGTCTGAAAAATTACATTTTATTCAATTAAATATTTAACTATTAAACAACAATTAATGAGAACATGTATTTCACATGTTTCTCTCCATTGAATAAATAGTGTTTTGTTTTTAATTTTTTTGTTTTGCTTGTTTGTTAAAAACATAAAATTTCCAACCCCTTGTGCCACTGAACTAGACTATATTATAGACATTAGGTTCAATAGTTTATTTTGTAAAATTCTTATCTTTGCCAGACTGAGCAAAAACTATAATAAAATGACATAAAGGAAACAAAAAAAACTACAATGAAATTTAAATAAAAACCGTGTAATGACGACATAATTATCAGTATTTTAGAATTTGTGTAAAAATAATGAATGAATAAAAGTTAATGATGAATAATCAAGAAAAGTAAAAAACAAATCAGTTCAAAATAATGACTAACTATTTGGTTTGTTTGGAATGAATTTGCAGAATTTAAATGTAAAATATTAATATAATTCTTATCAGGAAATACAAAGTTTGCAGATGGTTCGAGGAATATTACTAAATTAGTGAATAGTTTATTATATATAGATTTTTTGTTAAATCAAGATCAATGACGTATTTTTAAGAGTTTAATAAGGGAAATCCCTTCTAAGGCATAGGTTTTTAATAATAGTGAATACTAATGTTGTTGAAGTGAATCTAAAGTTGATATTGCAGTTTCTCTGTTACCGATAATATATGTATCCCTACTACTATCGCGGAGTTGAGAATATTTTTCAATATATGACTGGAATCGTCCCGGAGCGAAAATCCAATTGAAAGTTTTTCTTTACAAATATCACAAGTTACATTTATTGAAAAAATTTGGAGACCCTATTAATATTGTTGGGAAAATTCTGATCTATTCTCTGGACCCCATTTTGACAACCCCAAACAGATTGTTAATCTAAAATTTTACAAGAATCCATGAAAAAACAATACATCCTCTATATTTAGTTATACTTATAACAATCGTCTCAGATCCATATGTAGATAGAGGCTTTATATGGGGACTATGATCAACAATGGACTGATACTCATAAAATTTGGTGGACAGATTTGTGTTAATTTATTTTGAAACTAGTATTTATAAAATAATTAAGGATGTTCCAGCCCGATCGTTACGGAAATCGGTTGTAAGGTTTATATAAAACTTAGTTGTTCCTACTTGAATTTAATTATTAAGTAATGTACCGATGTTAGTCCTAATTAATGGGGTTTAGAAGGGTTATGCAACAAATAAGGTACAACTCCACACGGACACCATTGTGATTACCCTCGTTGAGTGTGAAAATCTAAAGATAGAGAAACAAAACTATAGAAGAAAAGAAAAAGGTCATAAGTAGAGAGGAGAGATTAATAATAACAGGCCAATTTCCAAGGGGTTTTAACCTGAAAAGTTTTACCGAGTCGATTCCCTAAGAAAGAATTGTGAGAGAATATGAGTCTCCCTATAAAACCCAGTCGAAGAAATAACTGATTCCCCTGATAAAGCCTAGTAAACTGCGAGGGCTCAGTTCCGCAATTTGCTCCAGTTCCTCGTGGAAATTCTGTACTCTAGGATAGTGGCAAATTATGTACTCAATCATCTGTAGTTCCTCTGCATCTTCGCACATAATACAATAGTCCAGTATATACTTGAGAACGGTCTACCACGCGCCCCTGACTGACTTAGAAGAAGAACACTCTTGTACGAGCACTTGAAGTACTAGAGCTATCTAATATCTGGCCAAGTTATCACATTGCGGTATGATAGGTAGCAACAATACTACCCGACAGAAGTGCTGGTCGACGCAGAAAAGAGGGCTAACAAAACCCCAACATACGCACCCGATAAATCCATAATCTCGATGTAACACCGAGATGAACCATCAGGTATAAACGTTGTCATGAGTGACGCCCTAGCTTCCCCATCCTAATTTGCCTAAGCGGAAGATTTATCATCCCTGAAGCGCACAACCACAGCAGAAAACTCTGTTGCTTCCGAAATACCCAACCAATAAATCAGAATCCCTCTGTATGTCGAGATAATGTGACAAAGGATGTAGGAATTTCCAAAAGTCGAACCTAAAAATTGCCCCGAAAAGTTGAGTGGCAGGGCTCTGTCATAAGTCGCGTAGCATGAAAACTTTCATGAAGTAAAAGGTCTATTAGATCAGTACTAGTCTCCTGTCGGGCAGAGGGGTTTTTACCGATCATTTACCAACTTACATCAGTTCCATTCTTAGACCATAAAGAACGATCTACGGAATGACAGGCAACTACCGAATGTCAACCAGAAAATTCATTAATCTATGCTGGCGCCCTACTACGCGCGTATGTTCCTCTGTCACATTTGTCACAATGACATCTGTTGAGATGTCAACATCACGGGAGAGAGAATCCAGACATATATGACATTTGGATATATCAGTCCCTAAACCGACATTCTCTCTCCGCGAATTTGGATATAAACCACACCCACTACGTTTATTTCGAAGTAACCTTAACCAACTGACCAGCCAGGACAAAGTCCCGCTGGTAACTGGCCACCCGTAGTACCAGGTTATGCTTTGGTACTACGTGATTGGTTGCACCTCTTTTCCCCGGCAATTGCAATAACACTAAGAGATTTTACCAAGGTAACATGCCTCCGGGGGGTCTTTGGCTTAGCATGAATATGTTTTGGGTAACATAAGGAACCTGACTCCAAGCTGGGATCGTGCTTTACGCTACGACAGAAAGCAATAATCCTGTTACTGCATTTCCGTTCTCATGTTTTCCATGGCAGGTGGATATATTGGACTTGAAAGATTCAATAGAACTGTTTTCACTTTGTGTTCCTTGACTGGGGAAAAACATTCGTTAAGCTTGAAATATTTCTCCACTAGGTACTTCCTTCAACCACTTTCCGAAATCACTTTATTTCATTGTAAGTAGAATACCTAATAGTCGAGTTCGATCGATTTATGTTCAATATTTAGAATTTATTTGCACACTAAAATAGCACGCTTTGAAAATTCAAATTTCGTATTCTATTTATAAAACTATATTTTGAATATTTGAAGAGTGTAGTGTGTTTCATAAGGGGCTTTTGAGCTCTCAGAATAACGACTGAGCATTTGCATTAGAAATTCAAAATATAACAAATGTTTATTTTCAAAGAACATGGAAAACTATATGTACCTATTGGATGTATATAAAAGTACATGTGTATTTTAATATTTTTAGTATATAAAGTGATAGTGACAGTGAATCGACAAGTATCTAATATATATAAATATATTACAAACGATTTAGTTAGTAGGGAGAGAGAGAGATAGAGAGAGAATGATCCAAACTCAATGTTCAGTGTTTATAGTGTTATCGTGTCAAGATATCATGGCGAGGCAATGACAATAAATAATCAGTTTTGAAATACATTTTTATGGAAACAACTAAATATTTTTCGTAAACAAAATAAAAAAAAAACTATGTTTTTTGAATGATTTTTAGTATTTTGTTGCAAATTTAAACAACAACATGGAAAAAAAAACACAAAATATTAAAAGATTAGGGGCGTTGATAAGGTTAGAACTTAACTGAACCGAACCGTACTAAAGTGAAGTGAAATGAACTGAAGTAAATAAGCGATTATTAAATTTAATTCGAGCAACAAACAACTTTAAATCGATTTTTGAAAAAAAAAAAAACACGAACGATTTTTATTTCAATATAATTTCAGTTGTATTTAGAACTTGAACAAGAACAGACGTTGAATTTAAAAATCAAGTGCAATCGTTTTCTAGAGTCATACTCATATGAGTATTGTATTGTAATTGTGTGTTATTTTTTGTTTTTGTTTTAATTAATTCAAATTTATATTTAATTTTTTTTTATTTACTTAATTTATGTGTAAAAAATTTTATTAAAAAAACATAAAAATATGGAAAAATTAAAAAAACAAACTAATAAAAAATTAACTGAACTCACTAAAGAAATTACCGAAGATGTACACGAAACTGTGGAACATCTTAAGCAGACCAATAAGAAAATCATTGAAGAAATTTCCAAAAATATCAAAAAAATAGAATGGGCACCGGTTAAAGTACCTCCTCGACGCCGCATACAAACTTTGGCGGCCGGTTTATATGTTTATATTTTCATGGTTTTGCCCTTTGTTTCCATGATATTAGCTTCCCTTATACTGGTGAGTTGTAAGGATCCATTAAAAATTAAAGTATTTTCTTCTTAATCTAGTTCTCAATTGCAGTTGTATTTGAATTATATGGGCCGGGCATTTTTATTAATATACTTGGCCTACATCTATTATGATCATAAGAAAAACTGTTCTGCTGTTAGAGGCAATGGGTATGTAACTTGTTTTATTATTATTATTTCTAATTTGTTTTTAAACTTGTTTAACAAAATCGTTTTATTATTGTTTACAGCTGGAAACGTTTACGTAATAACTTTTTCACAAATCATTTACGTGATTATTTTCCAGTAGAATTGATAAAAACTGTAGACTTGAAACCAGATCGCAACTATTTACTTGCCAGTTTTCCTCACGGTATTATCGGGTAAGTTTAAATGAAAATGTTGTTAAAATATTTTATATTAAATATGAACAAGTGCTGCAATCAGTAAAATCGAACTTTGAATACCCTTCAATATGTTAACATTATTGTAATCAAGTCCAATATTTATAACACCCAGTTTGGGGTTCCATTCAAATGCAGTCCACGGCAGTTCTATTATCTTAACTTTTCGAATCCAAATCCATATAAATCTTGTCAAAGGTGTAACAGAACTTTTTCGAATACTGACGCTAGGACTTTCCCATGCTTAGTCATTAATATTGTCAAAAGCGATAATGATTATCAAGCTATATTAGCTAATACATACATATTTCCTGAACAGATTAGAAATTCAATGCCACTCAAGGAGTAATAAATATTGCAAATTCTTTCCAATAACGCATATATTTCTTATCATCTCAATATTTGGGAATTAGATGCACGTTTTTATTCAATGATTAATTTTCAACATGTGGTCTAAAAATTTTTACGAATTACTAGTTGCTTAGGGTAAAACACAAATGTTCCGAAATAACTTAGGTGAAATGTCAGACTAGACTATAGACTAGACTATAGACTAGACTATAGACTAGACTATAGACTAGACTATAGCCTAGACTATAGACTAGACAATAGACTAGACTATAGACTAGACTATAGACTAGACTATAGACTAGACTATAGACTAAATTATAGAGTAAACTATAGACTAGACTATAGACTAGACTATAGACTAGACTATAGACTAGACTATAGACTAGGCTATAGACTAGACTATAGACTATACTATAGACTAGACTATAGACTAGACTATAGACTAGACTATAGACTAGACTATAGACTAGACTATAGACTAGACTATAGACTAGACTATAGACTAGACTATAGACTAGACTATAGACTAGACTATAGACTAGACTATAGACTAGACTATAGACTAGACTATAGACTAGACTATAGACTAGACTATAGACTAGACTATAGACTAGACTATAGACTAGACTATAGACTAGACTATAGACTAGACTATAGACTAGACTATAGACTAGACTATAGACTAGACTATAGACTAGACTATAGACTAGACTATAGACTAGACTATAGACTAGACTATAGACTAGACTATAGACTAGACTATAGACTAGACTATAGACTAGACTATAGACTAGACTATAGACTAGACTATAGACTAGACTATAGACTAGACTATAGACTAGACTATAGACTAGACTATAGACTAGACTATAGACTAGACTATAGACTAGACTATAGACTAGACTATAGACTAGACTATAGACTAGACTATAGACTAGACTATAGACTAGACTATAGACTAGACTATAGACTAGACTATAGACTAGACTATAGACTAGACTATAGACTAGACTATAGACTAGACTATAGACTAGACTATAGACTAGACTATAGACTAGACTATAGACTAGACTATAGACTAGACTATAGACTAGACTATAGACTAGACTATAGACTAGACTATAGACTAGACTATAGACTAGACTATAGACTAGACTATAGACTAGACTATAGACTAGACTATAGACTAGACTATAGACTAGACTATAGACTAGACTATAGACTAGACTATAGACTAGACTATAGACTAGACTATAGACTAGACTAGACTAGACTATAGACTAGACTATAGACTAGACTATAGACTAGACTATAGACTAGACTATAGACTAGACTGTAGACTAGACTATAGACTAGACTATAGACTATATATGTCTATATGACCGAGGGTCATATACATGTATTGCGGTATACGTTCTTCAAATGTTGGTATTGAACTTCAGTTTCGTTGAAAACACATACAATGTATTTTGATTAAAAACTTATGTATATACATACATACGTATTAAGAACTTTAATTAAATTTAAAAAAATTTATGGCAAAAACTTTAAAAAATAATAGGGTCAAGTATTTTGTGTTAATCAGAATTTTTGAGTTTTTTTTAACATAAAACTAATTTAGTGATGAAATATTTTAAGTCAACTTTAACCTACATTTTAAAATGCGTTTAAGAACACATAACAACAATTTAGTTTTCTTTATCAATCAGAACCATTCTAAATAGTTCATAGTTCTATTTTGAATTTACTTTATTTTAATCTATTTTAGGAAATCTTTTTTTCAATTTATGTCTAATGCCTACATTGATTTTATGTTATGGAACAAAGTTCAACAGTTTTCGAAATCTTATCGGGTTTATATTAGGTTTCGTAATATCATAATTTTTGTTGTTATGCATTTTAATTTTCTAATCAAGAAATTTCCTACTTAGTTTAACTCATAAAATTTCCAAATTTTTAAAGCAATTACTCAGATTTTAATCAGATTAAACTGAACAATAAGATAATACATATAAAATTTACCTGATGGAAAAAATGTACATTTGTTTATATGTATGCATATCAGATAAGACCAAGCACGAGTCCGAAGATAAGGACCTACCATAATAATCAGTAAAATTTCGATCGTAAATGTTATTTGAAATATATTTTTCAAATAGTTTTTATTGCTTTTTATATTCAATGTGAATTTCTGAAGACGGCCCTTTATATGGAAGCATTTCAACATCTAGATTATAGGACATATATAGATTACAGACAGATTACAGACAGATTACAGATTAGACTATAGCCCAGACTATAGACTATACTATAGTCCAGACTTTAGACTATACTATAGTCCAGACTATAGACTATACTATAGTCCAGACTATAGACAATACTATAGTCCAGACTATAGACTATACTATAGTCCAGACTATAGACTATACTATAGTCCAGACTATAGACCAGACTAGACTATTGTCCAGACTATAGACTAGTCTATAGTCCACACCACAGACCAGTCTATAGACCAGACTGTAGACTAAACAATAGTCCAGACTATGAACTGGAGTCCAGAAAATAAACTAAACTATAGACAAGACTGTATGGGCTAGAGTAGACTAGACTATAGTCGAGACTATAGACTGCTGTCTTTGCTACATATTGTAGACTGTAGTACACACAATAAACTAGACTATAGTCCAGACTCTAGACTATAGTCTGGGCTATAGACTACGCTATAGTATGGATTATAGACCACACTATAGTCTGGACTATAGACTACACTATAGTCTGGACTATAGACTACACTATAATCAGGACTATAGACTACACTATAGTCTGGACTATAGACTACACTATAGTCTGGATTATAGACTACACTATAGTCTGGACTATAGACTACACTATAGTCTGGACTATAGACTACCCTATAGTCTGGACTATAGACTACACTATAGTCTGGACTATAGACTACACTATAGTCTGGACTATAGACTACACTATAGTCTGGACTGTAGACTACACTATAGTCTGGACTATAGACTACACTATAGTCTGGACTGTAGACTACACTATAGACTACACTATATTCTGGACTATAGACTACACTATAGTCTGGACTAAAGACTATATTATATATGGATAATAGACTATACTATAGTCCAGACTATAGACTACACTATAGTCCAGACTATAGACTACATTATAGTCCAGACTATAGACTACACTATAGTCCAGACTATAGACTACACTATAGTCCAGACTATAGACTACACTATAGTCCAGACTATAGACTACACTATAGTCCAGACTATAGACTACACTATAGTCCAGACTATAGACTACACTATAGTCCAGATTATAGACTACACTATAGTCCAGACTATAGACTACATTATAGTCCAGACTATAGACTACACTATAGTCCAGACTATAGACTACACTATAGTCCAGACTATAGACTACACTATAGTCCAGACTATAGACTACACTATAGTCCAGACTATAGACTACACTATAGTCCAGACTATAGACTACACTATAGTCCAGACTATAGACTACACTATAGTCCAGGCTATAGACTACATTATAGTCCAGACTATAGACCAATATCTTTAAAATATCTTTAAGCTTAAAAAATATATAGAATTTTTCGGTCAAAATAGAAAATTATTTATTTCTATATTATTTCATTTTTACAGCACTGGTATCTCCATTAATATGGGCAACAATATTGGCAAATGGTTGGAACTATTTCCCGGTATACGTCCAAAAATTGCCACCCTCGACATGCATTTCTATATTCCCTTCATGCGTGAACTCTTCCGTTTATGGGGTTTAGTATCATGTTCTAAGGAATCTCTAACATACTATCTAACCAGACCCAATGATCCCAAAAGTAAAGCCAATAAAGATGGTTTCACTTCTAATGCTGTGGCTGTTTTAGTGGGAGGAGCACAAGAGTCATTAGATTCACATCCCGGACGTTATATATTGACATTGAAAAATCGCAAAGGATTTGTGAAGATTGCCATTAGAACTGGGTAAGTTTAAAATATACTCTAAAACAGAAGGAATAGCTAATATTTAAATCTTTTCTTAATAGATCTCCAATTGTACCCACCTTTTCATTTGGTGAAGTAGATATTTTCGATCAAGTGGCCAATCCCCCAGAATCGTTGCTCAGAAAGGTGCAAACATTGGTTAAACGCATAACAGGTGTTTCACCTTTGATTGTATTGGGTCGTGGTTTCTTTCAGTATTCCTTTGGTTTTCTGCCACAAAGAAAACATATTGTACAAGTTGGTGAGTAATATAATTATTATTACACTTTCTAATCTTTAATATCTTTTAAATATAATATGAAATTATTTAATTTTTATTTTAGTGGGCGCTCCCATTGAGGTCGAAAAAATGCCAAATCCTAGTCCCGAATATGTTGATGAAATTCATCAAAAAGTTATCGATAGTCTGAATGAAATGTTTGAGAAATACAAACATAAATATATTGAAAATGCCGATAAGGTTAATTTAGTTATTAATTAATTTAATTTGAAAATTTTGCACATTTTGTATATAAAATTTAAGTTATTTATTTTGTTTTAACACGAATTGTTTTCCTAGTTTTTTAGTTTTTATAAAAAACCACCTAATAACTCATAAGATAGTAATAAATATGTTTTTTTCAGTTTTTAATGGAAATAATGATATTTTTTTAAATCGTGTATTTATTTTCTGGATCGTTATATGATTCTAAAACGATTTTACTACGTCAATGTCCTCACGGTATTCTGCTCAAACACTCACAGTATTGTTGATTAAGCAGAAGGCTTGGGGAGTAATAATTTCATAAAGTAAATTATTGCATAGTAAATCACAATTACTTGTAATGTGTAATTGAGCAATAACCAATTACAATTACTTGTACTTGATGTCTTCCAACTACAAGTCCATGCAATGTGCAATTACATGTAATTGTAATTTAAGTATGTATTACTAAATATTAGTAATTTTAGTAATTTTAATAGGAAATTGTAATTGACAATGCTTCAATTATAATTACAAGTATGTGATTGCAATTGACAAAACTTTAATTACAATTACAAGTAAATGTAATTGGTAAGGCTTCAATTACAATTACCTTAAATGTAATTGTAATTGAAAATGTTATAATTAGCAGAGCTAAAAATAAGTAGGAAGTAGGAAAGCATAGTCGTGCATGGCCGACCATATGATACCCTATACCATAAGTATATTTTAAAAATTATTTATTTTTCATAAAGAAACTTTTAAGTTGATTTTTATATCAATTCTGATATATTTAAGGCTTTATATGGTAGTTATAGTCAAACATGGACCGATTTCATAAAATTGGGAGGAGGGATATATTTTTATAATTGTGCGTATTTTATAATATATAGTAGTATATTTGACGAAATTATAGTATGAAAAACTCAAAACGGGAGATTCGGTCATACCCAGCAAAAAAAGAACTCCTAAAGAAGCGAAAAAGAAGTAGAATTTAGTCCATGGATGTACTGAAAAAGACCTGAAGAATTGGTGATTCTAACACAGACTTGTCATAGGAGGGATGTCCTTTTTATTTGATTCCAAATTCACAATGTCTGAATTGGCTACAATTTTGTACCAGTATGCACAAATTTATATTTTTTGGACACCTCTAATGGACATCCAGCTGGACGGACATGACTTAACCGATAACGAAAATGATTGCGAGACGAATTTAAGATGGGCGTAGGAACAATATTTGCGTTACAAAGATCAGCACAAACTCGTAAAACCCCCCACTATAGTTAGTTAGTTCGTTAGTTAGTTAGTTAGTTAGTTAGTTAGTTAGTTAGTTCGTTCGTTCGTTAGTTAGTTAGTTAGTTAGTTAGTTAGTTAGTTAGTTAGTTAGTTAGTTCGTTCGTTCGTTAGTTAGTTAGTTAGTTAGTTAGTTAGTTAGTTAGTTAGTTAGTTAGTTAGTTAGTTAGTTAGTTAGTTAGTTAGTTAGTTAGTAGTTAGTTAGTTAGTTAGTAGTTAGTAGTTAGTTAGTTAGTTAGTTAGTTAGTTAGTTAGTTAGTTAGTTAGTTAGTTAGTTAGTTAGTTAGTTAGTTAGTAGTTAGTTAGTTAGTTAGTTAGTTAGTTAGTTAGTTAGTTAGTTAGTTAGTAGTTAGTTAGTAGTTAGTTAGTTAGTTAGTTAGTTAGTTAGTAGTTAGTTAGTTAGTTAGTTAGTTAGTTAGTTAGTTAGTTAGTTAGTTAGTTAGTTAGTTAGTTAGTTAGTTAGTTAGTTAGTTAGTTAGTTAGTTAGTTAGTAGTTAGTTAGTTAGTTAGTTAGTTAGTTAGTAGTTAGTTAGTTAGTTAGTTAGTTAGTTAGTTAGTTAGTTAGTTAGTTAGTTAGTTAGTTAGTTAGTTAGTTAGTTAGTTAGTTAGTTAGTTAGTTAGTTAGTTAGTTAGTTAGTTAGTTAGTTAGTTAGTAGTTAGTTAGTTAGTTAGTTAGTTAGTTAGTTAGTTAGTTAGTTAGTTAGTTAGTTAGTTAGTTAGTTAGTTAGTTAGTTAGTTAGTTAGTTAGTTAGTTAGTTAGTTAGTTAGTTAGTTAGTTAGTTAGTTAGTTAGTTAGTTAGTTAGTTAGTTAGTTAGTTAGTAGTTAGTTAGTTAGTTAGTTAGTTAGTTAGTAGTTAGTTAGTTAGTTAGTTAGTTAGTTAGTTAGTTAGTTAGTTAGTTAGTTAGTTAGTTAGTTAGTTAGTTAGTTAGTTAGTTAGTTAGTTAGTTAGTTAGTTAGTTAGTTAGTTAGTTAGTTAGTTAGTTAGTTAGTTAGTAGTTAGTTAGTTAGTTAGTAGTTAGTTAGTTAGTTAGTTAGTTAGTAGTTAGTTAGTTAGTTAGTTAGTTAGTTAGTTAGTTAGTTAGTTAGTTAGTTAGTTAGTTAGTTAGTTAGTTAGTTAGTTAGTTAGTAGTTAGTTAGTTAGTTAGTTAGTTAGTTAGTTAGTTAGTTAGTTAGTTAGTTAGTTAGTTAGTTAGTTAGTTAGTTAGTTAGTTAGTTAGTTAGTTAGTTAGTTAGTTAGTTAGTTAGTTAGTAGTTAGTAGTTAGTTAGTTAGTTAGTTAGTAGTTAGTTAGTTAGTTAGTTAGTTAGTTAGTTAGTTAGTTAGTTAGTTAGTTAGTTAGTTAGTTAGTTAGTTAGTTAGTTAGTTAGTTAGTTAGTAGTTAGTTAGTTAGTTAGTTAGTTAGTTAGTTAGTTAGTTAGTTAGTTAGTTAGTTAGTTAGTTAGTTAGTTAGTTAGTTAGTTAGTTAGTTAGTTAGTTAGTTAGTTAGTTAGTTAGTTAGTTAGTTAGTTACTGATAACCACTCTTTTCCTTTAAAATAGAACTACGATCATTTCTTTTTAAATTAAATTTTTATTTATTTGTAATTATTTTTATTATAATTTAATTTTTATTATTTATTGTTTCTCAAATTTTGTTTAACGCAAGCATTTCTTGTTGTTTATGGGTTTTGTTTCATTTTATCTATTAAATTTTCCATTTTCTTTCGTTAATTCAAAAAGAAAATGTTTTCTTTTATAGAATTTTTAATTTAAATTTACTTATTCATTTATTTAATAATTTTATATACAAAAAGGAGCAACAATTAATTAAAATTTTTCGACAACCTACGCTACAATTTTTGGTTTTATTTGTATTTAAATTTATTTTGTTCTGCTTTTTTTCGATAAAACTCATATAAAACAAATATTTAATCAAAAAATCTTTTCTGTCAAATTTAAACTACAAAAAAATATGTTTGTTTTATTTATTTTTTGTTATTTAGTAACCATGTTTGTTTTTCTTTCAGTGTAAATAACTATTTTTAATAGTTTTTTTTTTCGGTTATATAAGATTTGTAACATTTTTTTCAGTATATTATTATTTTGTATTATTTTTTGTATTATTATCTTTTTAAAATACGGTGAGTTATTTTAACAATTATTTTCATTTAATAAAATTTTTAGTTTTATTTCCAGTTTTGCACATCAGTAGAATTTTTAGCAAAGATTTTGTAGTTTTCATTTATTATTAAGCTTTCGTTCATTAAACAATTTTTATTATTTTGTAAATTTAATGAGAGAGAGAGGAAAGAGAGAATTATATAAATCTCTTTTAAATAAATCTGTTTAGGATAAATTTTGGACCAATTTTCATAAAATTTTAGCCATTCTTGACAAACTGGGTTTTACCGATTAGCATTATTCGATTTGAGACTTTTGCTGATTGATCGGAATAACTCGTTATGACTTTTTGTTTATAAATTATAGATAAATTAGAAAAAAATCTGCTTTCCTCTTAAAAATAAGGGACCGCATTATCGTGTCCATGATCAATTAAAATTAATCGTAATTTTGTAATTTTGATATTCGAACAATTTTGTTTGAATACAAAAGCTTGCTTATACGATCACGAATACATACATAAATTCGGTCCAAGATCTGGGGTTTTCTAGGTGGAATTTCTGTTTAAAATTCTATTAGTATAAGTTATAATGTTGTTAATTGTTTATAGGTATGTAAATTGTATATAATTAGGCTAGATTTGTAAATGTAGTTTATAAGGTTTTGAGTAGTTAATTAGATTAGATAGTATATAGTATTATACGATGATGGTTAATATTTTAGGTACTAAAAGCAGTTTAAGTTCTTGTCTAAAAAAAATGCCTTTGTTTTCTTACAAATTGAGTTTTTGTTCTAAGTTTTGCAAAATTTTGTTAAAATTAAACAGTTTCTTTTTTAACTTTATAAATAGGAGGGACCCTGTGGCAAATATTTGGAGTTTTATTTTTGTTGTCTATTTCTATTTTTTATATAAAACAATTAACATTTGATTAATATTATTTTATTTTGAATCAGGAATCATTTTTTTATAGATTACATTTGTTATTTTGTAGCTGTTGTTCAAAATTTAATCCCTGAGGTGCAAAAAGTAGAGTTTTTTTAAGGATTTTTTTTAAATTTTATTTTTATTTAATTGTTTATATAAAAAAGCTTGGATTTTTTTTTTCTTGTTTTAGGCCAAAAATTTGTGTATTTAATTTTCTATCAGGCTTTATTTGGGTGCATGTTTAGCATTTTGTTTTTTTTTTTATGTTATTTGAGGAGTTCTTTTAATATTTTTCAATATTTATCTAATTTTAGTAAATACAATTTAAAAATTTTGTTTTTAAATTTCCAGTAAAAAAGGTGCTTATTTAATTTTATTTTGGAAGAGGAAAAAATGTGTTTTATTTTTAATTGAATTTTAATGCAATTATTTGGGGGGGGGGGGGGGGGTAGATTTTCAAAATGTTTTGCTTAATTTAGATTTGAATTAATATTTAATTACACCAAAGGAAATATTTTTATTAATTTATTTTTCATTTGAGAAGTTTCCCGTTTAAGGGTTAAATGAGCGGTTCTTCAAAGTGCCAGCATACATGCCGATCTCATCAAGATTACGCCCATGCTAAACTCGCAGCTCACACTTTCCATTGCAGCGATAGCGTGGTCCACTATCTTATTGTTGATCAGATCTTCTACCTGTCGAATTACCCGAATCCTATACTGCTTAGCATAGATTATCGCGGTGTCTTCTCTTGGTATCCTTGGCGTAAGATGGCAGCTTTTTTCCTTTTTCAAAGTCCAAGCTTCTTCTTCCACGATTTTCCCGAGACGCCCTAACCTTCTAA